TTGTCGACGCCGATTGGATTAGGATTGGCGATTGTCTTCCAGCCAGTGAGAACAAAGCAGATAGCGATTTAATCGACTCTCGTTGGTTAGAAGACAATCGCCAATCCCAATCCAATCCGCGTCGACAATTGCTAGTCTGACTCGGCCTTAAGGCCAACTGTCGACGCGGATTGGATTAGGATTGGCGATTAGCGATTGTCTTCTAGCCAGTGAGAGCAAAGCAGGCAGGGATTTAATCGACTCTCGGTGGCTGGAAGACAATCGCCAATCCCAATCCAATGTCGGCAATTAGAAGTTTGATTCGGCCTTAACGCGCACTCGCGATATCACTGCGGGCAACGTCGCTCCTCGTTAAGAAGGTACATCGTTGCGGGCAACACACGGGCATTTCAAAATTACTTTAGCGCACAGCCTAGAGACGTAGGTGAATCGTCAGCGCGACCTAGATTTCTCGTGGTGCCACTACGAAATTCTGAGTCACTTCCAGGTAACCGATTGCCTCCTCGCGTACGACGTCACGTTAAGCAATACCTTTCATTGTTGTTCGGCCGACTGATGATAGGGAATTACTTGGCTGTAACGCTTAATTTGCATCCGCAGGAAAGTACGAGCGGCGACCTGACGGAGAGAACGTAGGCGAAACGCGAAGAGGCGCATTACCGAGGCATAAACTGAAGAGAGAAGAGCCGGCGAATGCAGTCCCTCCCCTCTCGTCCGCAAATAAACGATGTAATTATGTAATATGTCGTTCTATATTGTCTACCGAACGCGAGCTACAATTACGTTAAAGAGGGAGGACGCGTTTCAGTATCCAATTCAGAAACCTATAAATATATCAACTTACAATTTGCAGGGAAAAAGAAGGAGCCTGCGCGACGGTTATATTAATTAATAATGTCTCTTTGATAATTTTCTCGACTTCATTCCACTTGGCGACTCCTTTGATTTATATAAGGAACACAATCTATCGCATTACTTCAGACAAAAGGCCGAACGTTATTTTTTTCAATTTAAAAATGGGGTAGACAATAAAGAGGCCTGCGCCGTTGCCCGACAAAGGGCAACTCGCATTTATTGGCAGGTTATTCGAGTTTACTTGTAAAAAGCTCTCGCTTTTTATTTATCGCGTTATGAAGTGCAGAAGAAGCGAGGCTACGCGTGATGGCTTTGTTATATATAAACAGTGCAATAAGAGCATAAGCGAAATGTGCTCTTTTATTAATACAAGACAAGTAAAATAAAGTCAAATAAAGCCGTCAAACGGTTTCTTACTCGCTGAAAAACTCACCTCAACCCAATTTCGCTTTATTTTCTAACAACGCGATGTTTCAGCGCGTTACTTGAGGTCCAAGATATGGGAAGGAAGAGAGAGAGAGAGAGAGAGCGCCCAGAGGGACTGTGACTTTTCTAAAATAACTCGATTCTAAAACGGGTTAAAGGAAAGCGTTACGTGCCGTCCGTTTTTGAGCGGAGGGAGCGCACAAGAATACGTAAAATGTCATACGGTCGGCGAAATCCGAGTCTTTTGTGTCAAAAGAGGAAACGGGGGAATATCGCGCCGGAGGGATGGGGCAAGCTGCGCTGTGTACGCGGGAGGGATGCGAGGGAAAAACGTGAGCCGACATGTGCCACCGGCCGGCGCATGGCGACGACCCAGTTTGCCGGCACTCCAGGGCGTCCCCCGATGCGGAATCGACTTGCATAAACGCTACCGGCGCGGCGGGCGGCTCCTTCGAGCTTATCCAAACGTATCTAGAGCGGCTTTGCATCTCCATTCCGCTTGGCCGGGTCGTCCCGCCCGCAATTGCGAGACGTTCCCCGGTCCGCGTCGTCGTCGTCGTCGTCTTCGCCGGGTTCAATTTTTCGAGGAGACATCTCGTGCGAGCGGAAAATCGCGGGACGAACGAGAGGCCCGGCGTTCGACAGAGAAATGGCTCCTATCTATCGGGGACGCTTGGCCCCTCGTTCCGTCCAATCTTTCGTGCCGCGACGAAAGCTTAGTCGCGGCGTAACGCGACATAAACCACGATACGCTTTTCCAGGGCGAAGAAGAATACGCTATTCATATCGGGATAAATTTGGACAAAAAATGTATCTGATCTAGTATTGAATACTTTTCAAGTTGGCGAAATACGGCGCTCGCGCGTTCCTATTGTATTCGCTCGCGTCGCAGGAGAATGCGCGAGGCTCATTCAACCGCCAGGTGCATAGCGCTCGTCGTCTCGGGCCAACGAATGACGATGCACAAAGTCGACCGTGGCACACGTCAACGCGGATAGTTATTAACGGGCTGCGCGCAGCGCGGCGACGCGATATTCTCGGGAGTTCTCCTCGCCGGTCGGGAGGGCAAAAGTTATCCCGACTTCGGAAACTTCTCGAGGAGGGCTGCTGGATAACTCTCTCTATCTCCCCCCACCTTCCCCAGTCGCTCTCTCTCTCTCCCATCCTCTCGAGCACTTTGAGTTTTGATGGTTTCTGACCCGCGCATGTCGCGAACGAGGTTGCAAATTCAACGCCGTTGCACGTGGTTCGCCGCAAGTGCATCGTAAAAGAAAACGATACATATTGCGACAGAATGACGCGGTACAATTCTCGAATCGAGAACAGTGTGTGCCCCCCCCCCCCCACGGGCGAGAATGTAAACACGGCTCTGATACCGAACGCGATAATGAGGCGCTTGAGGACTGGAAAGCAGCAATTTTTCCGATAAAACGATCGCGGGCGAAGCAAGATGTAAATTAAATTATTCATCCTGGAGAGAGTCGTACCTCTGGAATGTCATAAGTCGGCTTTAAAAGTGAACCTGGAGTATATTAACCCTTCCAAAATAGCGAATTCAATTGTAGCGTTTGAAAGAATGCACGGACGGGACGGGTTCGATTTATTATTCTTATTGCTACTTGCAGCGCGGAATCGCTCGGAATTTACGAACATTACGCGACTCTGTAATTATTCACCGTGTCGTTAAATACTTTACAGAATGTAAAACGCGGCTGCATACGCAGCTATAAGCAATGCATGAAATTTTAAAAGTTCGGTAGATATACCGAACACGACCGTGGATATTTTTAACACATATATTTCCAGTTTCGCGGCATATAAATATTGCATGGCGCTGCTTGCTCTCTTTAGGGCTGGAAATTCGAACGGGAAATACCTCAGGCCACTACCTCGCGCTTTTGCGCGGCTTTCAACAAAAATCCCGTCCGTGCGCAAAAGTGAATTATACGTTTCTACCGAGTGAAAAGTTTCCGCTGGAAAACACGGACTTGCTGTAACCCGTCACCTCCCTACCTTTTCTCCCACCGTCTTTTCGCCACTGTCGGAATAAATTAATAGAGGAGGCGGCTCGAATGCCGGCTCCTTTTTTACCGAAGCTGAGTGGCGATAAAATGAAAAAGAAAATAACCGGAGTAACTACGCAGAGAGTTGGATACGTTCGTGATGCAAGATTGAGATTAAAGCGTCGAGAATCGACGATCGTAATCTGACGATTTGAAAATTCGAAAAGTAAACGATCGCCGACATCAGACACGGCCTAAGGATTCCCAAGATGTTCGTTTCACGAAACAGCGGTAGAAAGTTCAACGCGACTTTTCAATTTCAACTTTTCAATCGCTGTTCCTATCACGCGATTCAGATCGCGAGGAGCAAGACCGAAAATCATATTACGCAAACAGATAAATAATTACTTCGCTTCGCCCCATCGAGGCCCCTTGGGGCACGCGCCGGCAAAAGGAATCCGGGCGTCTTCCCCTAAAGCTGCCTAAATTCGATGGTAACCAGATTGGCGATACGACGTATAGCGGATTAGCGGATCGCTCTCGGCCTGGCATTGAGCCTTAGCCTGCTATTAATCGATACTCAGGCGAAGGTCGTACGCCCTCGCGGCGTCTCCGGTTATATTCGGTAATTCTTTCGTCCCTTGCCCTCCCCGTCCCGCCGCGCGATTGCTTTCCTGCAGGAAACCATCGCGTGTGTGTCCATCGGCCATCGATCGGGCGTACCATCGGGACGGCTGGTCGGACGCTTCGATTACCGATGCACGGGACAAGTTATAGAGAGATCGTGCATGGTTAGTTAATATTAGAGAATTTCGCGGAATTCAAATTGAAGCTTGATATTCCGCCGTTTTGTTACATTATTAATTTCCACGACGTTTGTTGGCCGATGCTCATCTATTGCGTCCCGACGGACGCAACTTCGTTGCCGCTTGTCTTGGCGGGCACGAAAGATATTTTTCCCTCGTGACTCTGCCTCTTTCGGTTTCTATTTAAGGAGTGTGACTCTCGCTGAGAATTAACCGACGTCGAGAACGCATACGCGTAAAAGTTGAACCGTTTACAGGAAACAGCTGGTGAAAACGCTCGAAATAAATAGGGACGGCTTGATTGGATGTAGGAAGGGAAAAAGGGTCAAATGACGTCTACCTATCGCCGCGGCGGTACACGCGACGTAAGGCTGATGGCAGAGAACGATCCGTAAACGCTTAAGGGCCTGTTCACGATTCCGTAGTAAGACGCGAGTCGATGTCAACGCACAAAGAATTGTCGTAGACGTCTGTCGCATTCATCGCATCCGCAAGGCGACATACGTCTACGACAATTCCGTGCGCGTTGACTTTCGACACCGACTTGAGTCTCACGACAGAATCGTAAACGGTTACGACAATCTTTCTGCTCGGGCCCTAAGACTGTCGTAGTCATAGACGTGAGGCAAGGCAGAGAAAAGCTTAAGTCGTGAAGATCTCTTGTACGACTTAAGACAGTCTTAAAGGACCGTTCTCTGCCATCAGCGTAACGCGTAACGGAATTTATTACGCGAGATTTCACATATTCTCAGGCAGCTATACCAAGTCGGACGCAATTCGCGAGGCCTGCGCGAACCTCGGGGAAGAAAACCGATGACTCCTCCGAAAGTTGATGTCAGTGCTGCCGAGGCAAGCACCTCCCTCGTGAATAATAAAAGCGTAGCGCTGCCGACTCGATCGCCCCGGAGAGCTCGAGGGTTAGCTCCGTCGCGCACGGCGGAATCGTGTGTTGCACGTATAACGCGCGCGCAACACGCGAGGCCTACGGCGGGCTTATGCAAACTGGGTCACACGCTGGCGTTTACGGACGTAAGCCTAAACCCGGCGACGAGAGGTCAAGTCTGGGGTTCGTTGGCCTTGAACCCGCGGCGGGAGTGTGTTAAATGGCCAGGCGTGGATCGACGGCACCAGGACCGAAGAGGCTCTTCCTGCGCGTTTTTACGGCACGGCGACGCCGTGAATGCTTAAACGGCTCATTTACATCGGGGGCCCTTTCCGCTAATTTGCGCGCCCCTTCATCAGCGCGAGACCCCGGCGGCGGCGAGCGCGGCTTTGCCAGTAATTATACGTGTTTCAAGCAATTACCGGCGCGCGAGGACGATTTTCATAAGAGAGCCATTATTTCGCGTATCGCTGAATATCATTGTCTCCGCCGGGGCGCTCGCCGCCGCGACATCGTCGCCAACGGGCGACCCTCGGCGATTTAACATCCTCCGATAATTAATTAATTAACGCTTACATAATCAGCGCCCCCGCCGAACAGCCGTCGCGGCCCCAAGTACACGCGCTATTTACTATTCGTAGCAAGTTTCGGTAATTCGACATCAATGTCGGTGACGTCTGCTTGTTTAGCGGCATGTTTCGACTCAGATTTGCATGATATTAAATTCACCTCGCGCAATTACACTTCGCCGCTTCGCTAGAAAATGTTATCCGGGTAACAAATCGTTCGGGGGCATCATTTATAATAAGAGATAAAGTTGCGAGCGAGTTTAGAAAAGTTTATTTCCTTCATTGAGCTCGTACCCTGGTGCACTTGTAGCGTAACATCTCTCTTTCTTTGTTTCTCTTCAACAACTTCGGCGGACGAGTCATTTACGACATCACGCGCGATTGTCGCTCCGCAAACGCTAATTATCTTCGTCACAGCGACATACATATAAAAAAAAGAAAACTAATCCACGAGCAATTTTGGCGAAACCCTCGCGAAGATTCTCGGCGAGTTACGGCAACGACTACGCCGTCCGGGACTTGAGACGAAGCGGCAGGACGCACAACGAGAGGGAGAATGTTAAACGAGCCTGAGGAGTTTTAATCGAGTCGTTCATGCTTCCTACCGCCGCTCCCCTTCGTATTTCCCCACCCCCTCGTCTTCTCTCGGTCAGAGGAGCAAAAGACTTGGTTAGAGACGTCGTTTCGCCTCGTCGTTGACTTCCGCTCGATTTG